CCAAGAATTTCATCTCTTATGTAGAGGAGGAATGACTTTATCTTGTAAGCTTGAAAGTGGGGTTCAGATGAATATTTTGAACATGTCGATTCTAAATTTTGGGGGAAGTAATAAAAGAAGGATTATATACAATGAGACCGGAGACTTTTTATTATTATAACAAGGAAATCACCGTCAAGTTTAAAGTTATTAGATGTCAAATTTGATGGTGTAGGGTGTGTCACGAAATCTTGTTTTGAATTATAAGTGTAGTGAATGACACATTGACAAGCACTTGATTTAAAATCTGACAGACAAGAATGATTGTGACATCTTTGTATTAGAAGAAAATGGTCTCGAATACCTCTCAAAAATTAAAACAATAAAACAACCATTACATGGTAGATTGAAAGATATGCGACGTGTGCCAGCCATTTTATGGTGAAATCATCGATTTTAAATCTTTATTATGTAAATCTTTATTACGATTGTAATTACTGTCACGTTATGTAGCAAATCGTGTTAGACACCCGTATCGGTTGGGTCCTGTACGGTTGGTAAGCATTTGTTTTGGCATCTGGGTTTCAAATAGTCTCCTAGCAACGACCTTCCTTCGTGAAATCGGGGCGGTTGGAGTTCCAAACTATAATTTGGCATCTATAGTTTGGCCACTTATAAGTTGATTTTCATGTTAGTTTCCGAACAGTGGTTTGCTTACAGCGAGACCATTTACCTTTGGTACAAGGTTATCACAATTAATCTTGACAATTAGATGTGAAATTGAGTGGCTGCATTTATTTCATTGATCAAGTTCAAAGTTTAAAAGAGATTTTTTCGAATTTTGTGACACACCCAAGCTATCACATTTCATATATGAGGGTTTTAAGTAATTGTGACCTCTATGTACCAAAAATAAATGGTTTCATTATATACAATGGAAGTTGAAAGAAAATGCAAAAATGAGAGTCAAACAAAAATTTAGGAATCTTTTATCTGAATAAAATAGAATTATTTCTCTCTCACAACATTCAACACTTTGTGCCCAAATAATAATACATCTTGAAGCACTTTATTTCAAATCCGACAATCAATGGTGATTGTCACCTTCCATAGTAAACGGTTTCATTGTATACATTTCCTTTACTTAAAAGGTCTCTTACCTTAAATCCCCTTTAGGGGTGTGTTTCCCTTTCAATTATGCAAAATGTGTATATCCTTTAACCTTGGCTTAATAATATATTATAAATATTTTTTTAATGGAAAGCATACTGTACAAAGAGATAATTTACTTTTAACCTTTGGATTTCAAATCGGATGGTTATGAGCATGTCATTGACTAGACTCAAAGTTCAAGAAAAGTTGACTTGAACTTCGTAACACACCCTAAGCCCTCTAATTTGATATCTAATAGCTAGGAGTAATTGTGGTCTCTTTGTAAAAAAAATATTTTGTCTCATAGTATATAATAATGTAAGTATACATATTATAAATATATAATTTGAATAGAAAACCATGTACCCAACATATAAGATTTCTTTAATGTACTACTCAATATTTTTGGATACTCATTGCCCTTTGTTTTGTAAAACAATTTTTTTTTAGTAAGGGCATTTTTAGTCATGAGAAGAAGCATGATAGATATTTCTATAAGAAATTAGTAGTATTTTACTAGTAGTTAAAAAACAATCATTGTTTCATGTGGGTGATGTTACACATCATGTGGATCACGTCATCCTTCACTAAGAGTTAATAAATGCTTTTATTTCTATAAACAAATATCTACTTTATTATTAATTAATTACTTAAAATACTCCTAAATAAATAAGTTACTACATAGTGGAGTAAGGGTATCAAGTGTCCAACAATGTTGATAATCTTAAAAAAATACTCATATGTAGAAGGAAATTGTTTCATGCAGCAGGGATTGCATTTCTACATTTGTGGTCCTCGAGGTATAAAGCATCCATCTTAAAGATGGATGCAAATAGGTAATCTATCTAAAAATAATTGAAAGTAACAGTCCAAATGTTTTCTTAATAAATTTATTATTTTAAAATTTAAAATTTTATTTATTTATTCATACTTGTAATCTCCATGTTAGAGATTACATGTCCTTAAACATTAGGTCCAAAAATCAATTTCAAAAATAGATTTGTAAGAGGTAACTCATTTCTACATGAACTCATATAAACCGTGTCCTATGTAGAATAGCCTAACATAGGGGCAATGATTTCATGCAACCGTTGTATAGTAATATGATGCAACAATACTTAAAAACCATCTCTATGGCCATTTGTTGGATCCAAATTTTGAAATATGCACTCTTTTCATTTTAATGAATAATTACAAAAAATGAAAAAATTGAAAACACAACTTAGACAGTATTTTTTTAACCCAATTAACATAGGGCGTTAATTTTGGTGAGATGCTTAGATTTAGGCCTTAGAAGGATTTTTTCATTTTCAATTTTTTTGGATGGCTTTATAATCATTATATTAACAATGTTAAAACAAAAAAAAAAAAAAAATTGAGTTTACAAAGGCTAAGATATTGAAATTCACAAAATGAATGGTCTACATTCATTTTTAGAGGGGATCCATTTTGACCATATCTAGGTTGCAAATTGAACTTTTTTTTTCGGGGGGGAGATTGATTGTTGAGATGAAGAGAGTGTGTGCGTAAAATTTGGGGTCATACAAATACCATAAACATAGTTTTTTAAAAGTGTCGTTTCATTATATTATGATACAACTATTGCATTTGATCATTGCTCCTATATATATTTTTAGGACACATTTTTGGTGAGTCAGCCTACTCACCTATTACTAAGCGGTCCCTTGTCTATCTGACGTCTATCTTTAAGATGACTGTCAAGAAATGTTACATTCACTAAAAGTTAAAATGGATGGTGAAGAAATGGATTAAAAAAATAACATTTATATTTTTTTAAAAAGAAAATTTTCAAATTTAGATCATTGGTTGAGATTATTGAACTCTAAAATTTTAGATTAAAAATATATCTTTGAAATATATTTTGTAAGGGACTGCACAAGAATAGTGTGAGTTGGCCGAATTACCAAACACTTTGACATTTCTTTTTGGGTAGATAAGTTGGGGTAAGGCCCTAGCGGGGCAAATCAAATTTAACGATAATGAAGGTTAGCTTTTTTAATTGCATTTCTACAATATGCCGTCTCAAAGTATAAAGCATATGCAAATAGGTGATCTATATAAAAATAAGAGAAATTATTAGAAATATATCTTAATTTTAGGTTTATTAAAAAAACAACCTACATTTTTATGAACCTCTTCTACACTCTTTTTTCACTTTTTATATATCTTTTTTTACCAAAATATCCTTCACGGATGGTTTTATGTTTCTAGACATCACTGTGTTTAAATAGTTCCGAAAACTATTACGGTAATTAACTACCGTTAATCAGAACGTCAAAAAGTCCTATATGAAACAATATAAGTTCGAAAACTTTATTGCGGTGAGGAACACCAAAAAAGAAAAAACGAGCTGTAGGCTAATCTAAATAATTCAAGTTTTAATAGACACCAGACTTTGATGCAAGTAAACCTCACATCAACAATTTTCCAGCAACTATAGGAATTTTCCAGTGAACAAAACAATTTTCAGGCTGCTATAAAAGTTCTCCGGCAGTCAAACAAATATCCTGCATTAACCTTGTGCACCAAAAAGCTAAAAAAATTACCTTTTTTAATCAGAAAAAAGCTTCGACACACCAGAACTTTCAAATTGTCAAAGTTTCAGAGAACTGCCCAATAAAAACCTCAAATTCAAAGATTAACCAGAAAAAAGAAACCCTTAAAGAGCACTATTCCTTCAAAGTAATTGCATTTATCCGATAAGCTAATCTAAAAATTCGTGGACCTTAATTCCCACTGAGAAAGAACAAATTTTGATTAAACTAATCTTTTTTCAGTTAAAAAATTTCACCTTGTATTTAAAAAATAGAGAAGGAGAAAAAGAACACCCAATTTATATAGGTTCGAGGAAAGAGTTATTACAAATAGAACGAGAGCAGTTTTGGAGACCGTTTCTCACGCAAAAAGCGGTATTATAAAACTGCTTTACGGGTCATTTAAGTATGGAATAAGTTCATATAAGGTTCCAACCTTAAAATGTAGAACTATAGATTCGCCTAAAAAATCCATAAAAAAAAAGTCGTTTTAATGTGAAAAACTCTCTAATTGATCATATAAAAAAAAAAAAATTTGTTTGAGTCCCAAAAATAAGGGTAAAGTTTATACAGAGCTGAAGCTCTAAACAATCGAATGTGAGCCCACCTTAAATATTTACTAGAAGAGGTTGTTTTGATGCCCAAATATCTTCAAATTAATCATCTCAACATCAAGATGCATGGGCATGAGAAAAAAATGTATTTCAAGTTGTGAAAATAGTGTATTTTGTAATGCATTTTTTTACCATTAATTTTAAAGATTTTCAAGTTTTCATAGATTTGTTGATCTATACTATTTTTTAAGCTTTAAATTTTATAAAAATATATTTTAAGGCTATTACAAATAATTTTAGTATTGCAACCACATTTTTCGACACTATTTGAAGGTAGGCTATAATTTGATTTTTTGGAGCCTAGGCACTATACAAACCACACCCCAGAAATAATGCATCTTGCAAGACATTATCTAGACCATACATTTTTAAGATTTTCATATGTTTATAGATCTACTTGATTTTAACGATTTTTGGGTTTTAAATTTTATAATTAGATTTGAAAATAAATTTTGAAAAATTCCTAAGAATCTTTTATACCAAAATTGCATGTTATGTTAAAGTTTGGAAGTACGCCTTAATTGGGATGTTTAAGGTTGTAACCTTAAACATACGAAAGTATACGGTTTTTTCTAATAAACCTAAAATTAAGACGTAATTACCCTATTAATTTTAAACAAAAAAATGTCGGTTCTTCAAGCCCGCCATTTTTTTAATGTCAGAATATTTAAATCCGAGGACATGGTTTTCAAGGGTCTCAGTTTCATGCTCCAATGGAAGGACACAGCAGCGATTTCGAAGAAGACGAAGGGCTTTCAGTTCTCAGAGACGATGGAAAGACTGAACTGCTTAAGAATAGGGTTCGCCTCTCTGTGATCTCCATTGCTGAAACTGAAGGTTTGACTCTCATCTTTAACCTCCTAGGGTCAAAGATAGAGTGATGATCACCTTTCTTAAACCCGAATCTCGAAAGTACTATGGAAGTTCCATTTTTTATTCATGTTTCTTAGGTGGAGAATCACTGTAAAAGTTGCTGGTTATGCTTAAGATCAGGTGCTTTTCAGATTTGGGATTGGTTTGTGATGGTCAAGGATAACGATTTAGGGTTTTTATTAAAAAATGGCTAATGTGCGATTTCTGATTCAAAGATGTCTATGGATTTAATGCATGTTATTGACGTGATGCGAGTGCTTCCAATTGCTTTATACCAGATATTTTTAGCTTTTATTTTGTTGTTTTGATTATTCTAACTGGTCTGGAATTATTGATGTGAATTATTATATAAATTTTGATTCTATGGATTTCTTGTGTGAATGGTCTGTTTGGTCCTTTTGTGGCGATTTTGAGAAATCATGTTGCTTTTTGGATACCTCTATCTAGATTCTTGGTTCTCTCTGAGCTTTTTTCTGGGAAAGTTTTGTCCCAATCGTTCTCCATTTTTTTTTTTTTCTGATTATGATCACAATATAAATTTAAACAAATACTAATGTGTTTTTTTTTTTTTTTCCAATGGAGAATTTGTGGGATTTTTTATGGATTTTCTGAATTCGATCACATTTGAGGAATTGGGATTCTTGTAGAAAATTTTCAAAGATTTTGTTGACGTTTTTAGGAGTTTTGAGAAAATATTGTAGTAATAAATTGCAATATGAGCGAACTTTTCATGACCTTTATGCATTCTTTAAGAGATTTGGTGGGTTATAGTGTCAGAAACTAGAGTGGTGTTTTATTTATTTTATTAATTTGGTTTCTCCATTTTTTTGGAAAACTGCAGCTAAAAAATATGGTATGGAGGTTTCTCAGCCAGTTATGGTGTGCCTTGCTCAATTGACTTTCAAATTTATAGGTAAATGTCAATTTTCATTTAGCTTTCTTTCATTTTTCTCCTATTTTAACTGTTATCAGTTATTGGCTTCACACTAAAGATCCATTGATATATTAAAGTAGAGAAAAATGGTGTTGAGATTCTGCATTATTAACAATTCCTCCTAGCACAATTCCCCTTAATGCTTGAGTTTTATTAAATTCTCACTTGTTTTATTTAGTGACTTTTATATTTAAATCTAAGAAGACTATGTTTTTAAGTGATGAGTTTGTCCTATTTGAAGAGTAGAGCAGTTGGCAAAGGACATGGAACTATTTGCCCATCATCGTGGTCGAAAGTTAGTGGACGTGGCTGATGTCATAATTTGCGGTAAGCTTATCTTCCGTCTGTTTGTATCAGATCATGATGTGCTTTACCGAATGTGGATAATATTTAATGAGAGTCTTTTCTGTGAATTTTTTATTGCATTCTATCAAAAGTCTGGTTCATCCCACAATTTGGTTGTGATTTTAGATGTTCATGCTCTCCTACTATGAACAAAAACAAAAAGAACTAGTAAATATACTGAATGACCCAACATACCATATGTCAGACATTTTTTACTGCCCCTTTTTAATATTGTGTTTTACAGTCATGGATTCATCTCCTTTAAATGGATTCTATCTTCTCTCTTAACTCCTCCATCGCATATTTCATTGCTCTGCAATTACTGACAATCCATGTTTTATGAATAGTTTCCATTAGAAAGTATAAAAGCACATGCTTCCTCTGTTACAGCCTGCCGAGTTCAGCAATAAAAATTATCAATGACATTTCCCTGATTAAAGTATAGGTGCATACACCATGCTACACTAGGAACAAACAAATGAAGGCCAATAAAATTGCATGCCTCTAAATGTTTGGTGTGGGTCAACTTCTCATATTTATTCAAACAAAAGCATATAATGAGACCATTTACTTTTGATACAAAGAGGTCACAATCATCATTGACCGTTAGATTTGAAATCAAGTGGTTGATGATGTGTCATTATTTAGGCACAAAGTCCAAAACAAACTTTCTCAAATGTTGTGAAACACTTTCATGTACTAGATTTCACATCCAATGGCTAAAAATGATTGTGACCACCTTGTACAAACAATAAATGGTCTCATAGTATAAATCTCTTTATTCAAAACTAATCTAGATCCTGTTTCCTTTTTTCTCTTTTACAGCAAGAGTTTTTGTTTCTTCTAGGACATGCTATTATTTTCTATTCTATTGTATTCTTATAAAAAGTGCAATGGACTTTCATTGTGTTGCTAATATGACCATTCAAATGCTCATATTCAATGTGATTTCAGCACATAGAAATGAAGATTTGGCTGCCACATTGCATTCCTTTTCTCTGGAGCTGAAGGGAAAGGAGGTGCAAACTGAAATGAAGCGGAAAAAAGCAGCTAGAAAGGAAGATAAAATTATTCTTGACTGATCTAACTGCTTCTGATTAGCTTTTTGTGGAAGGTAATAAACCGCGGATTAGTTGGCCACTTCATAGTTGAGGGAACTTTCATAATTTTATTGTTTTTAACTACTTTCTTTTAAGATTGTTGTGCTTGTTTCATTACTGCAGTTATCTCAATTTCTGGTGAATATGGTCATTGGAGAAAAATGCATTGCCTCTCCATTTTCTTGAAATAACATGTGCCAATTTCCTAGATGTCCATATCTTACCTGATGAAAAGAGGAAGAAAAAGTGTTGGACATTTCGGTTTTAAACTTTGAGGAATGGATTCTCAGTTGGAAGTTTTGGTTGAAAAATTACATTAGTTCCTTAAAATTTTCCCCTCGATATTGATAGGATGACTGAATTGTTAAAGACTATTCAATATAATCACATTTTCAATATTTGTTTTTCTTTTATGTATTTGTCGATTTTCTATGAGTTTAAACCAGTGTTTTGCTGACCCGATTTGGCTCAGCTCGGGACCATGGTGAGTCTCAAGTTAAAAAATAGGGACCCTTCCAAGTTTCATGCTATCTTGATATTTTTTTGGTTGTTTTTTTACCGGCTCAGCCGAAGTTCTACGAGTTTGAACTAGTCCCTCCAAAGATCGCCGACCTGATTCATCTCAGCTCATGACCCTGGCTATTAGCAAGTTAAAATCAGGGACTGCCCAAGTTTCAGCTTATTTTGAAATTTTTTTTGTTCGTTTTCTACAGACTCAGCCAAGTCTCGATCCATCTCAGGTGAGTCGAACGGGTGATTTTGGATTGGGACCCCGGTGAGTCCAAGCCTGACTTCTTTTGGAGCACTGGTTTGAACTATTCTTTTGAGCAGTCAATCCTCTCAGTGATAGTTATGAGCATGTGAAGTGTTTTTTGTTGCTAGTCATATCTACAAACTTTTTAATTGGTCATGGTGTGTGGATTACTTTATCAAGTATCTAATAGTAGTCACAATTATTATCTCCATTTATTTTGATGAGAAACTGTTTCCATAGTTTTAGTAATGCGAAATATACTGCAGCATCCGTGATTTTGGCCATCTACACCATATTAAGATCATTTTAGCAGCCCGTCTTTTGTCCATTCAATTATCTTGGGGGTCTTTTTTTTTTCTTTTAAATATGATATGTGTGGCTCCCTTACTATCGCTAGAGTGACAGTATGCAGTCGTGTGAGCCACTAAGAGTCCATTCAATTAGGATGCCCTCATTACCAATGTCTCATGTAATGAATAATCAAGGACCTTCACAATATTAAGATGGCAAACTTAGCTTGTGTGTGGAAGAGAATACCGATTGCTGTGGTCATGAGCTCCCAAACTATGGTATGGTGGAGTAATGGACCAATAAGATGTTGATGCTAAACTCTAATGACATCTCTGTGTGAATGTCGCCCCTTTTAGAGTGGAAGACTTTCTTTAAGAACAGAGCAAGCTCATTCTTGAATGCTTCATAAGATCAAATAGGATTTTTTCATCCTGTTGTTGATGAAATTTAGCCCTTGTAATGGGGCTGTCTGGGTGCTCCTCTAATCTAAAGAATGCTGCATTGTTCCTATGATGGGTTGTACATTATGTACAATAGTGCTATTTTCTTTATCACTTGGGCTTGGAAGGTTCTAGAGAACTCTAGAGGTTCATAGAAAGTCTAGAGGATGTCTAGATCAATCCTAAGGGAAGGTTGTACCGAACACTCTAAAATGGTGTATGGGCTAGAAGGTTCTTAACCGTTAGATGGTTGGCAATTGTACAAATTTGGACCATTCGTTGTCAGTCCAAGTGCCTATATAAGGAGGAGGGCTCCTCATTTGGGAGGCACCTCAGAAAATTGTTTAGCATTTAAGGGTTATAGTGAATACAAAGTTTTTCCTATTCAATCTTGTATCCCTCTCTCTTGAGTGTGTGTTGGTTCCTATTGTGTGGTGCACACCTATCGTGCTCGGTTGGTGGTGCTTATGTGTGGGTGGTGCGTACTAGTGTGGGAAGCTTGACTTGTCCTCAAGAAGGTTGAGTGCACGAGTGTCGCATGGTCAAGGTGCGAGGCTTCACTAAGGCCATGACAAGTGGTATCGAAGCTAGGATTGTGGGAGCTTACTCTACTTGTGGTTCAAAGGGATGACACTGTGGCTTTTGGGGTGACCGATAGTGACCAAGCTCATGGGAACAAGAAAGAGGGAAAAAGGGACAAGTCCCAAGACCCTTTGCTTGCTACGGATAAACGGCTAGCATGGTTGGAGCTTGCCTTGGCTGATGGGCAAGACCATAACAACAAAATAGAGGGGCCTTGAAGCGAGGCTCGAGGAACTCAAGAGTGAGACGTTGGGTGCCCTAAATGAGGTGACAGATACACAACAAAAAGAGGGGGAATCCTTTGAGGGCAAGATGATGGCGATCCTGGTGAAGCAACATGATCAAGTTGATGAACTTAGGAGTGACCTCACCCCTATGAAGTGAGCAGTGAGCAATGGAAGCATTGTGGCCCAAGAGACCTCTAAGGTATGCTCAACTAAAGCCTTTAGTGGGTCTATGGGACACCCGAGAGTTAGACAACTTCCTGTGGCAAATAGAGAAAAGGCCAAAGTACATGCTGCGTGCCTCACCGATACCTCCACACTCTGGTGGCATAAAAGGCATGCTGATATCGAATGGGGTAGTTGTGTAATTGACACTTGGGAGGATTTAAAGAAAGAAATTAAGATGCAATTCTATTGTGAGAATGTGGAGTACTTGGCCCATAGAGCCTAAAACGATTGAGGCATATTGGATTAATTGGAGACTATGTCAAGGAATTTCTTGACCCTTATGTTGGAGATCCCTGACATGGCCGAGAAAGAATTGTTCTTTAACTTCATGGAAGGCCTGCAACCATGGGCCGAGCAAGAGTTGCAATGATGTGGGGTGTAAGACCTGCATCAGCTATTGCGTGGTAGAACAATTGGTCAAGTTCACAAAAAGCAGTCCTTCTACGTAACAACCTTCTAAGGATGGGAGAGTTTCCAACCGTAAAGGACGACCTAACAAGCCCTCAAGTGGGAAAGTTAGCAAGGATGCAAGAGTAACAAGGACCAAAGGGATGTGTCCAAGCCATGAAGTGTGGAGTGCTTCAGATGTGATGGACCACACCGGGCCCGGGGTTGCCCTAAGAAGGATGCCCTCAAAAATCTCTCTTGGCAAGGTTAGATTACCCCGATGATGGAGGCATAAGGAGTCTCAAATGGAGTCACTGCAGTTCTTTATTGGGATGAAGGCTGAGATGGCGAGATTCAAGGCCCAAAGTAAGGGATTCATGTACGTGAAGGCGCAAATCTATGGGAAGGCCACAGCCACGAAGGCAATGATTGACACTCGTGCAATGCACAACATTATCTCTAAGAAAGAAGCTAACCAGTTAGGTTTACAGTTTGCTAAGAAAACAGATTGGGTTAATGCTGTCAACTTAGATGCCAAACCTATCAATGGTGCAGCTTGTGGGGTGGATATCTACGTTGGCAATGGCATGGCAAGATAGACCTATCCTTGGTGCCTATGGATGATTACTAGGTTGTCCTAGGGATGGACTTCCTAATGGGGTAAAAACTAGTGCCCATTCCTTTTGCAAACTCAATATGTATCTTGTAAAACAAGCTTCGTGTGTGGTGGCTGTGGTGCAAGGCACCAAAACCATCAAGACGCTGTCAGCCATGCAGCTCACCAAGGAGGGGGAATTGACTCGTCTGGCTACACTAGTGGGAGCACCCAAAGAAGGGGACCCCCTAGGAATAATGGCTAATGAAGTTGAATGTGCCTTGGAGGGATCCAAGGACAGGATGTCACCAAAGCTACCTAAAAGGCTAGGAGGAGGTAGGTCATAAAATAGAAAGGAAGCCAGGAGCAAAACCATCAGCTATTGTTTGTGACAAGAAGGTTCCTAGGTCATAAGATAGAAAGGAACCAGGAGCAAAACCATCGGCTATAATATGTGACAAGAAGGCTCCTAGGCCATAAGATAGAAAGGAAGCCAGGAGCAAAACCATCGGCTATAGTCCTTGACAAGAAGGTTCCTCTAGAATTGGAGGAACCAAGGAAGGCAACGTTGACAACACCCAAGCAAGAGTACCTGGTGGTGGCTTGCCGATCCCAAGGGGTGGTATGTGACAAGTGGTAAAGAAGGGAAATACTAGGTGCTTTTGGATGCAGGATGGGTGGCTTCATAAGGAAAGGCAGTCTAAATGATTGCTATGGTGCACTGCCTGAGGGCAAGGAGGCCAAGAATGTCCTTATAAGTCGAACGATACATCGATGAGGAGAATCACTGTGGAGGAAGTACTTGGCTAAGTGGAGAAAATAGTCGAACAACAAGCAAGCTGGGAATACGTAGAGACGCTACGGCTCGTTTCATGGAGGAAGCGCAACGAGGACTTCGCCATATTAGGTGGGGAAGCATGTCAGGGCCCTAAAGAATGCTGCATTGTCCCTATGTTGGGTTGTACATCATGTACAATAGTGTTTATATATTTTTTATCACTTGTGCCAGGAAGGTTCTAGAGAACTCTAGTTAGTGCATGGAGAGTCTAGAGGGTTTCTCAATCTATCCTAAGAAAGGGCTGTAAAGAGTACTCTATAGAATGTTGTATGGGCTAGAATGTTCGTAATTGTTGGATGGTTTACACTTGTATAGATCTTGACCATTCGTTTTAAGGCCAAGTGCCTATATAAGGAGGACTCCTCATTTGGGAGGCACCTCATAAAGTTGTAAGCATTTGAGTGTTCTAGTGAATACAAAGCTCTCCGTATTCAATCTTTTGTCCTCTCTTGAGTGTATGTTGGTTCCTCTTGTGCGGTGCACACTTGGTTAATTTCTATTGTGCTCAATTGGTGGTGCTTGTGCGTGGGTGGTGCGTAGTAGTGTGGGAAGGTTGACTCATACTCAAAAGGGTTGAGTGCACTAGTGCCGCACAGTCGAAGCGCGAGACTTCACTAAAGACGTGACAACATTGCTCAGATGGACTTCGAGAATTTATTGGAAGAGCATTTCTAGACCAATTTCTTACAAGTACTATTCATGAAAAAACATCGTATTAGAAAGGTGGCAGACTGGAAACCACCACCTGCACAATGGGTGGTGATGAATTTTGACAGGCGCATGAGAAACAATGGGGCAGTTGCTGATAAAGGACTCTTGAGAGACCATAGGGGCCACATAATATGGACGACGCATGATATATTGCCTTACTGTTTGGCTAATGAAAGTTGAATTGGTAAGTCTTACTGTGTGTGTTGAATCTAATCTTGATCAATAGTTTCAGCATTTTATTATTGGATTTTCGGGGTTTCTCTAATGTGATTAACTGCTGCACAAATCCCCTTTCTGTACCATGGAGGAACGATGTGATGGCAGAAATACATTTTCATCTACAAGGGAGGCAGGTCCTTTTTTTTCACATGTTAATAGAGAGAGGAACTTACTCGATGCACTTGCTAAGGGTGTAACATCTTTGTAATTGTCTTTGTTTTTTTCTTTTATTTACTTTTTCTTGGGGCCTCTTGGCCCTTGCTTTGTACCTCCTTTATACTCTCAATAAAATTTCGCTCACCGCTAAAAAAAGAAAAAAAATCCATTCCTTTTAATGTTGTTACTCATAAAAAAGAAAAAAAGAAAAGAGAGAGAGAGGTCCATTCCCTTTTTCTTTGTGTTTGAAAAGGACAGTTTTTTTTTGCTTCGGTAATTCAGTGGGAATATTGGTGCCTACCTATTTTTTAAATGGTTAGATTTTTGAAACTGTGAATGGGAGTGGAGAGTACAATGTGCGACTAAAGTATGGGGATGCCACCACTACGACCCAGCCCCTTTCCCAAAATGACAGTTTCTTGATTTATGAAAACCAACAAATGCGGTTATTGACTTTGAAAAATAGAGCAGTTCCTTCAATTTCAAAAACCTTGATGTTGAGATAAGTGTCTCACTCTCTCTCTCTCTCCAAAGTTGGGCCCGGCACTCGTCAGTTCCCCCTTATAGATCTAGCAATCTCCCATGAGTGAGCATCGGGGGGCTTGGTTCCATTTTTGTTGTGTTAGGCCAACCAGTGGGCTTGTTTTTAGTGAAAATGAGCAAGTAAACCATATGCAGCACATGTGAGAGAGAGGATTCAATTTTATTCTGAGACACCAAGCTTCAAATTTATTTAGAGAGAGACAAAGAGTCCATCTCTCAAAATCATTTTAAGGGAGATATAGATAGAACAGGCTTCAAAGTCATTCTTATTTTGAGAGAGAGAGAGAGAGAGAGAGAGAGAGAGAGAGAGAGAGAGAGAGAGAGAGAGAGAGAGAGAGAGAGAGAGAGAGAGAGAGAGAGAGAGAGAGAGAGAGTAGAGAGAGTAGTAAGTAGTAAGTAGTAGTAGTAGTAGTAGTACGTACGTAGTACGTAGTAGTACGTAGTAGTAGTACGTA